GGATTAAATTTAAAAAAAAGTTTAGAAATAACCACTCTGTGACAACGATGGGCATTTATATAGCACCTTTAAAACACAACCGCCTGGAATTCCCTCCCTAATAGCATCGTGGGTCAACACACAGCAGGAGGACTACAGCAGCCCACCAGCACCTTCTCAAGGGGCAACTAGGGACCGACAGGAAATGCTGGCCCAGCTAGCAATGCCCACATCCCACAAAATGAATAGAAAAAATAAAGTCATATGGCACAGAAACAGACTCTTCGGTCCAACCAGTCCTCAACTAGTCCCCGAGATAACAAGGTGTAGAGCTGGAAGAAGGGTCTAGGTCCGAAATGTCAGCCTTCCTGCTCCTCTGATGCTGCTTGGCCTGCTGTGTTCATCCAGCTCTACACCTTGTTATCTCAGGTTCTCCATCATCTGCAGTTCGTACTATCTCCTCAACTAGTCCCCACCTGCCTTCTCCTGGCTCGTATCCCTCCAAACCTTTCCTATTCCGTTTACTCATTCAAATGTCTTTTAAAATGTTGTAATTGTGCCCGCATCCACCTTTTCCTCAAGCAGTTCATTCCACACACGTCCCACCACTCTGTGTAAAACATTTGCCCCTTGTGTCTTTTTCTCAAAATGTGCCCAGAGACTAGAAACCCCTCCATCCTAGGGAAAAGACAGCTACCATTAACCCCATCAATAACCGTCATTATGTTATACACTTCTTTAAAAGTCACCTCTTAACCCTCCTGTGCTCTACTGATAAAAAGTCCCAGCCTATCCTTATAACTCAAATTTTCCACACCCACCAACATACTGGTGTGTATCTTCTGAACCCTCTCCAGTTTAATAATATCCTTCCTATAACTGGGTGACCAGAATTGGACACAGTATTCCAGAACTGGCCTCACCAATGTTCTGTACAACCTCAACGTGACATCCCAAGTCCTATACTCAAAGGACTGAGCAATAAAGGCAAGTGTGCCAAACATGTTTTTAAACCATCCCTGTCTATGTGATGCAATTTTCAAAGAACTATGTACCTGAACCCACAGGTCCCTGTGTTCTACACCACCTCCCAAGGGCCCACGATTAATTGTATACATCCTGGCCCAGAAAAATAAAAAGAGGTGCCCAAGGAAAGAGAGATCAGATGACTGTGAGTAGTAGGTTCTTTGGGAGTGTGCGCGCACGCGCGTGCACATCGTACAGCGGGAGAGACTGCAGGGGATAGGCAGAGCTTAGAGCCTTGATGGATATGGACACATTCACAAGGAGTGGAGTGAGGGAAATTGAAGGAGCACAGAGCTCTGAGGGGGAAGCGCAGCAGGAGGAGATTGCAGAGGGATCCCAATAGGAAATGTCGAATTGAAAATTCTCATCAAGGTTATCTCTACTTCTCGCCAGGTCATGATTTATTTATGATCCCAGAATGAGTTTCACACTTTGGACTTTTGTAATCTGACACTTAGCAGCTGTGAAGGTGAAAGCGACCTATTATCACACTGATACAGCTAATGAAGTGAACACACTATCATAAAGCACTCTATTACTGAAGGATTCTCAGATTAAAATACCAGTTTCACCATTTTTCTCTCTCTCGATGGTGCTGTGCGTTTACATAGCGAAAGCAAAGGTATCTCTTCACACCTATTTCTGTGGAGATGCATCAGAGGACAGCACAGTGGTTAGCACTGCTGCCTCACCGCGACAGGGGCCTGGATTCGATTCCAGCCTTGGGCAGCCATCTTGTGTGGAGCTCGCACGGCCTCCCTGTGTCGACGTGGGTTTCCTCCCACGGTCGAAAGACGTGCAGGCTAGGTGGATTGGCCACGCACTAAATTGCACACAATGTCCAGGGATCTGCAGGCTAGGTGCATAGGGTTGGAGGGGGGTGGGGGGGCGGGATTGGAATGCAGGTCTGGGTCTGGGCAGGATGCTCTTTGGAGGGTCGGGGGTGCAGATTCGATGGGCTGAATGGCCTCTGTCCGCACCGTAGGGATTCTATGACCGGTGAACCACAGACTGGAACCAGGAACCTTTTGAAAGCCATAAAAAAAGTCTAAAACAAAAGGGTGAGAACATTGTTTCCCAGCCGCTCCTCTCAGCTTCTCCAATGCTAACTCCATGCCTATGCAAGTGTTAAATAAAAGACAAAGACTTTCAGTTTCTATCTGCCCTCATTGTGCATGCTTGGTTGACAGAAGTGAAGTGAATTATTGACTATGCCCCAACTGACATCTCTAACTGGTTATAAGTTTATTGAACAGGATCAAGTGGTGCAAAAAGTGTGCCAATCCATTTGCCAGATTGGGAGTCGTCGGAAAAGCAGCCTCTTTCCTAGGATATTTCCTTGCAGGTGCCTCTTGCTCAGCAGGTCCCACAAGGTGCCACTTGCTATTATGTGGCTCACTGAACAAGTGGCGACAGAAAGGGTCTATGGGGGGGAGTGTTGAAAAAAAGAGGTCAAGGGTTACTTTAATCTCAACTGCAAGAAGGAAAAAAAAACAAGGGGTCCCAGCGAACGGAGACAGGTCTAACTAACCCGCAGGCTCACCCTCGGCTTCTAGGGCCAAATGGCTGAGACGTTATAGTGCTCGCGCTGCCCCATGACTCCCGGAGCAAGAGAGAGAGAGAGAGTGTCAGGGAATTCCTCAACTCGAGAGCTTTGCGCTGGTGGTGAAAACCAGAAAGGCAGAGAATGACAACAAGAAGGGATCGAGAGAGGGTGAGGAAAGGTTAGTGTGGATCCTCTCGTGAGCAACGGCGAGAGCTACCGAGGATCGCTTGGCAGCATTCAGGTCGAAGGAGGGGTGATATAACACTGTCAGAGGCAGGGACATTCCCTGCGGCTCTGGCGGTGGGCATTTCCCTGCTACAGCTGGCAGCGGGAACCACACCCCCAGTTCAACTTTGCAGCCTGTGGTAAAAACTCCAAACCCACTTCGACTTACTGACTCAGAGCCCGCTGACGGCTAGAGATATACAAAGACAGAGGCATACATACACATACACGTACGTGTACAGACATGCACACGTGACAAAGGCCAATACACAAAAAAAAAGCAGACAAAGAAGGAGAATAACATTCAAAAGTAGAGAATAGGTCCAGAACGGGAACTTTGATCCTGATCCTATTTTGTTGGTTTTATCTACAAGCTGACTCAGGCTTGTGACTCTCAGTCTACGCTTTTTCACAATGTTACAGCTGGTTAATAATCTCCCTGCTGTTCACACCAACCCTGTTAATTATCACAAACTCCGACACAGTAACCTACTCACACAGGCTTACCTGGAATCAGCGTGCGATTGCAAAATTCACCCAATTGCCTATTACCATCAATCCCTCAGCACTTACTGTGACACGCAAGTCTTTAATCTCCTACCCACATCCAGCTGGGCTATTGATCGGAGGACATGGAGTTCAAATCCTTACCTTGGAAGCTGGTGGGATTTAAATTCAGTGCATACAAGAAAAAAAATGTGGAATTGAAAATTAGTCTCAATGACAACCCGGTGAAAAATCCAGCTCAATAAATGTTGTTCAGGGCAGGAAAATCAGCCAGGTCTAGTCTGCGAATGACTCCAGGCTCACAGCGACGTGGTCGACTCTTAACTGCCCTCTGAAATAGCTGAGCGTGCCACTCAGTTCAAGGGCAAAATCGAGATCAGACAACAAATGCTATCCTTGTCAGTGACGATCAGCCCTGGCGAGGTAGGCCCAAAGCGGACTCATGGCTGCGGCAGAGTCAGGTTTGGGCCGGTTCGATACCCGGCAACATCAGTGGCAGCTGCGTTGACAAGGCCCATTGAGTATTCATTGTGGCAAGGGAGTCAGTGGAGGCAAGATGGCGCCAAAGAGAGGCGACTCTTGTTCCAGCAGGTGGCGGCAAAGGGAACTGGAGCCTGGCCACTAGGCCCATGGCAGAGCATTTAGCAAGAGGGACTGTTAAAATCAAACCAACTTTTTCTTTATTTTTCTGCATCCTATGTTTTGGTTTATTTTGCCTGTGTTTTAAGATGTCGCCAGTGAGTGGCAAACTTTACACTATACATTTTGTCACAAAATACACACGATAATAAATAAAGTGAAGAGGGACACACACATGGGCATCCCCATGCCCCTCCCAGCACACACCAATCTCCATTTCCAAAGTCCATCTCCCAGGGCCCACCCTCGCCATAGAGCAGTCTACAGAAAGTGATGGATGCCACACTGATCCTTAAGGAATCTCAGTGACTCGGTGGATCTCACTCTCTCTCTCTCTCACACACACACACACACAGCCGAATGATCTTGACCCATTGACCACAGCTCCCACAATTCCCAGGGGACTCCTGCTGATCAGGATGAAGGATCCCAGACGACATTAGCAGAAATGCAGTTCCAGCAAGCCCTTCATCCATCCTTCCAACGAGGAGCAGACGAACCAACATGCAGTCTTTAGTTAGGAGGATCAACATCCACCACCCCCCCACCTTTATTAAAACCAAAAGCCTGTAGTTTCGGTATATTCTGCGTGTTCCTAGCAGTTTGGAGTGATGGGCAAGAAGCAAGCCATTGCAAAATTCTTTCACGAGTGATGTGGAAACAAAGGCATTAAGGACTGTGAGATACTGACCTACCCTCAAACATGCCATACACAGAGGGCTAGAGGCGCATCAACGTGTCAGCATTCGATCTCCCACCTTGGGATGTATCCCAAAGCCCACAAACAGAAATGTCCTATCTCACCACCACCAGAAAGACTGCAGTGTTTGAAGTTTTAGCTCCATTTCTTGACTTAATACTAAGAAAGTCTGCAATGTTTAACTTCATTTC